ATACATGTGTGTGCCTGTTGGCTAGTAATATCATTTTCCTACTCTACTACAGTATTTCTATGTCAATGCAGCTTTTTGTGTGCATTGCGCTCGTTTTTAGGAGGTTTATAAACAGAATCGCAATCGAGTTTATTGCCAAGTAGGTTTGCACCTACAAAGGATTTGACTTTGTGTTGATGGTGCAGAAAAAATAGATATATATAGACAGAATCTATAGCTATATACACAGTAGAATGTGTGTTAATGTAACGTAGAAGGTCTGGAGATGCTAGCTTCTAGGTCGTAAAACGGGGGAGGGAGAGAGGCAGTGTCAAGGGGATCTCTTGGCCTTGTTGATAAGGCTGGTAGCGGATGGGAAGAAACTGTTCTTGTGGTGTGAGGTTTTGGTCCTGATGAACCACATCCTCCTGCCAGAGGGGAGTGACTGAGATAGTTTGGGACTGGGGTGCGAGGAGGTACAATCTTCCCTGCACGCCTCAGAGTAGGGCTGGGCGATATGGAAAAAAAACTATATCATGATATGGATTATTTTATATCACGATAACGATATATATCACGATATACCACAACTGATGTTGCATTTTATGTTTTCATAGTCCGTCAGATGGACAGGGTTGAAAAAAATCTTTCATCGTCTATTTTTTACCCATCATCTTGTTTCCTAATATGAGAATCCCAACTCCAAACCAAGAACACCAGTTATGCAATTTGCGGCCATGACAGTGAACAGTATAGAATCTTGGCTATTGCGCTGCAGTAATTAATCATTTAATATTCATTTGTTATTGACATTTTATAAAATTCCAAGGCCAGGTTTTTCTCTTGTCTTTCACTTACTCATATAAGGCTGTGTTGCTCTACTCATCCACATGTCCGTAGTCAACGCATAATGCGTCGCACCACTGCGTACCTCTCTCTCCACTTCAGCCCGACAACTAGCATATAAGCCAGGCAGCTCCACTTTACTGAAATGTTTTCGACAAGGCATCACATATCTGGGATCGAGTGTACGGACGAGGTCCCGAAAGCTGTCTTTCTCGACTATGTAAACGGGGGCCATGCCTTTACAGATATAGCGTGAAATAGCACCTGTGATCTGCTTGTGTCGCTGAGATGTCTTCTCATATTGTGATCCTTGGGCGAATGCTTCCTTAAGCTTCGGCTGTGAGAATTTCTTTCCAGTGCTTCCTGTATTTTCATCCCTTGTTTGTTTTGATCGGAGTTGTTGTAGTTTCCCGTGTTCTTGTTCATGATTTTTCTTCAGGTGGTAAAAGAGGCCGGAAGTATTTGCATCAGCCGCTGGAACGGCTTTGCTGCACAGTTTACATATCGGCTGCGTTTGTTCTTTATCAGATGGCTGAAATCCGAAATATAACCAAACAACCGAGCTGCCTCCCCTTTTGGGCAAAAGTGGTGTTTGTTGTGTCTGTGACCTGGCAACCGTTTCGGACTCTGTAACCGCTGCTGTGGTAACATCTTCTTGGGTGTCCATCATTCATTTTTTTTCAAGCCAGAAAGAAATTTCGCGGGCTCTCTCCGTCAGTAATGTCGCAAACGTATGGTGCAAAGCCGCGTGACGTAAAGCGGTGTAGTGTCGCAAAACCACGTTCTATACACATTATCTTTTTATTCTCTTTTTTTTTTGTTATATACACTTAGAGTTTGCATAGCAAAAACGCAAAATGTTATATTAACAAATTATATTAAAGTGTATATTAGCAGTAATAATAATAATAAAAAAGTTTATCACGATAGAAAAAAATAGAGGAGAAAGGTCACGATAGACATGTTTCTCTCGTCCTCACGATATATATCGCCATATCGCCCAGCTCTACCTCAGAGCCCTGAAGGCGTACAGATCCTGGAGAGATGAAAGATTGCAGCAAATCACCTGCTCTGCAGACCGGATGACACGCTGCAGTCTGCCCTTCTCCTTGGCGGTGGCACCAGCGTAACAGATGGTGATTGAGGAGGTGAGGATGGACTCAATGATGGAGGAGTAGTAGTGCACCATAGCTGTTCTTGGCAGGTTGAAGTTTTTCAGCTTCCGCAGGAAATACATCCTCTGCTGGGCTTTCTTGGTTCACAGTGTCAACTGTGGAGTCACAGAGGGTGATGGGGTCCCTGCACCAGGTCACCAGATGGTCAGCCTCCCACCTGTAGGCGGACTCGTCACTGTCAGAGATAGGTCCGATTAGAGAGGCGTCGTCTGCGAACTTCAAAAGCTTAACAGTATACGTATAATATATAGAAAGAAACAATCAGATTAATCCTGTTTAATCAATTATTGAAATAATCGTCAACTGATTTAGTAAGCGATTAATTGTTAAAGGCATACTATGCAACATTTTTCAGTTAATTAATGTGTTCCATAACGTTTTGGATGATTAAATTAGTCATTTCAGGTTGAACAAAGGTTTTCTCGGCCGCCCTGGTGGTCTGTGGGGGAAATACCGCACTTGCAATTGCAGGACCCCTCGGCCCGCGCCCACAGGCTCAGAAGTCTCGCGAGAGTCGGTCTTGCTTTACGGCGAGAACTGCTACACGCCCCCAGTTAAAAGCATGCTCGTTGCTAGCACAGTGGCGGTCTTTGTGCAGTTATCATGGCGGAACCAGCGTGAAAACAGCGAAAGCCCATGTCAGAGCAGGCAAGAAAGAGGAAAAGGGATCCGGACAGAGAGAGGAGTCGTACACGGGTGAACATCGGGCAAGCTTTTTCCGAATGGCGAGAGCTAAAATAAAAAGAAGGCTGCAAGGCTGACGCGGACCTCGCGTTTCTGCTGATGCGATTGTAAGTAACATTGGAATGGTTTCTCTCTCTCTGTGTGCATATTCATACTTTCACTGTGTTAGTCATTCGTTGTGTTCGCCTGTCTGCTAAGCTCAAAACAACCGCGCCTGGCTTGACGGAGAAACCAGGAGAACAGCTGAGCATATTTACGTCAGTTCACTTTTACTTTCGCCCTCTGGGGGGAGCCTCGCTGGAAAATCAACACCGGTTGCATAGTGTACCTTTAAATGAAGTATAGAGACTGTCTCAAAATTCAATTCAGTTTATTTTTATAGCGCCAATTCACAGCACGTCATCTCAAGGCATTTTACAGTTCACCAGATCATCCAGTCAACGGGATTTATAGTTTTCTATCTAAGGAAAACCAGTTGATTTTATCGACTCATTGACTCGAAGGCAATCCCACACACTAAGCATGCTTGTAGCGACAGTGGAGAGGAAAAACTCCCTTTGAACAGGAAGGAACCTCCAGCAGAACCAGGCACAGTGTGAGCGGCCATCTGCTGAGGCCCACTGGAGTTCAAGGAGACAGAAGCAGAGATAGAAAAAGAAGCATCGATACAAAAGGCAACTGTAAAAGGCGGCCCAGTCAAGGACACACAGCCAGGCAGACGAGCTCCGAGCCAGCTCCCCTATCAGAGGATGAAGAGAGCACATCCAGTTAGTCACAGTCAGAGAAACAGGACTACACTGGAAAACAGGCAAATCTCCAACATCTAGAAACAAAGGTGTTGATGGCAGCAACAGCTGATATTTCTCTCCAGAATGGAGTCACAGCCAAACAGGAACAGACCAGATGAAGCTACTATGAGAAAAAGCAGAGAGAGCAGAACGTTAGAGATTGAACTAACAGATTCTGCAGAGTGGGAGAATAGAGATAGAATGATGAAAGAGCGGACCCTATGTCCTCCAGCATTCTTAGCCTATAGCAGCATAACTATAGAGCTAGCTCAGGATAACCTGAAATTATAAAAATTAAGTAAACATTTTGCATGTAAGATTTTTCGTCAATATGTTCTATCCACGACTCCTCAAGTAGAAGCGTTTCAGCTTCACATGGATTCATTTCGTAAAAGCTTTTCTGTAAGTAACCTTTGGTTATCCGATGAATCAATAAAATAAAATAAAATAATTGGACAGATCCACCAGGAGCTCTCAGGGTTACCTTTGGCCTCTGTGCTGTCTCTCTGATTGATGCCCTACGTGCTTCGTCTGTTGGTTCTGGAGAGGCGCCCTTTCTCGGCAGGTTTGTTGTTTCATGTTTTCCTTCAAGGTTGAGGGTTTTAGCTCTGAGGGCAAATCACAGACTTTTCATAATTTTTATAACTCCGCCCTGACTCCTACTTCTCCTCAACTTTGTCTCTTAGTTACTCTTCTTTAGTGGCGTTGCAGCCTTTTAGAAAAACCTTTGTTCATACCGAACAACATGGTGCTTGGATCACATACAGGTGGTTTTCATTTGTCTAATTATGTGACTTTAGAAGGTGGTTAGTTTCACCAGAGCTTTTTAGGGCAGCATAACAAGGAAGGTGTTATAGAACAGGACATTTTTTTGCAGATTCATCTCATATCATGATACTTAAAAAACATCTAAATTATAGGTTATAATTTTATAAAATAGGCAAAAGCCAAAAAGGGGATGGAGAAGTTGATGTTAGGTTTCTGCATATCTTTCTTGCAGCTGCATCTGTGATTGATTTAATTAAAGCACCTTTCTAGGTGTCTCTAGTGAACGTCTGACTCTATTAACCAGTTTATGGGTTTGTCTTCTTGTTATCGTCGTACACAAAGCTGTCAGGTTGAAACTCGCTGTTTTGAATCCTTGTAGTGAGCGTTGCCATGGTGACGGCAGTATCCGCACAGCGTGAAGTGGAGGAAGAGCTCGTGGTGCTCAGCGTGGTAGAGAGGGAGACTGTTTGAAGGTAGCGATTGGTTGGAGCGGAGGATGATGTCATGTGTTCAGCCGGAGGTTTCAACTCGTCTCATCTTGCAGACTTTGCTCCAGCGATGGGTTTTGGTTCTTTGCGCGTGCCGTCTAACAGCACGCCACGTGTTTATGTCCATCAGAGCTGATATGCAATTAGTTCAGATGCACACACACAAAAACTGAAACCGAGGAGGAGCCAGAAGAAGCAGGGAGGGAGAGGAGGCGTGTGTCATACTGAGCATGCTCTTTGTGTTAACTTCCTGCCCTCTTTCTCTCCAACAGAGAGGAGCGTTCAGAGAAGCCGGCATTCAGCAACAGCAGCAGGAGAGGATCAGACGCCCTGGACTCGGCAGAGAGGACAAAAAGATCCATTCCAGAGGAGATACATCCATCAAACGGGGATTTTCAGGATTTTTATGGCTCTGTGTTTTTGTAGGTGTGACTGAATGAAGCTGACTTTGTATTTTTGAAATAGAGCTTTTCTCTTCCTCTCTTCTCTCTTTGTGAAACTTTAGACGGTCGGTCTGAGAGACAGAGGCAGCTGAAGGGAATTTTTTTTTTTTTCCCAGGCTTCACTTGCGTCACTCCTTTCGATTTCTGTTTGTGTTATCTCTCTCTGCCCTTTCCTGATGATGTTTGGTTTCTCATGAAAGCACGAGGAGGAGTTTCTTAAGAGTCTGAGCCTGAAAACACTTTCACTTCAGCTCTACCAGGGAACATACCGGACTCTGTGTCCCTTTGTGGGAAGTTTAAGGAGGAATAAAAAAAGGAAAATGGGCTCAGAAAAGGGCTCTGAGTCTCCTCATTCATCAGTCAGCAGCGTTCCCAACCCTAAGTGCCGAGCAGCTGGGAAACGCCAGGGCCGTATCTCCTTCCACAGCCTCTTCCACAGCAAGAGGGGCTCTCGGAGTGGAAGGGGCCCCAAAGGAGGAGCGGCCACTCCTTTAACTCATCATCATCATCATCAGCCGCTGCCTTCAGCCTTGAGTTCAACGCCAACCGCAGCCTCCGCCACGACCACCACAGCAGTTACAAACAGTAAGGATGCAGCCTCAAGCACCCCCTCCAAGCCGCTCTCCTCCAGCCAGCCGTCCCTCAGGGGAGCCGCCGCATCCGGGGAACCCAACCTCCTGGAGTGCCCGCTGTGCCTGGTGCGCCAGCCCGCCGAGCAGCTGCCCGAGCTGCTGGGCTGCAGCCACCGCTCCTGCCTCTGCTGCCTGCGGCAGTACCTCCGCATCGAGATCACCGAGAGCCGCGTCCAGCTCAGCTGCCCCGAGTGCGCCGAGAGGCTGGCCCCGCGGCAGGTGGCCGACATCCTGGACGACGCCGCCCTGCTGGACAAGTACGAGGAGTTCCTGCTGAGGAGGTGCCTCGCCTCTGACCCGGACTGCAGATGGTGCCCGGCGCCCGATTGTGGGTAAGTAACGGTCCACTGCGCCTTCAGAGAAGATCCTCCAGGCTTTATGTGTTTAACTTTTCGTTTCTAAGACACCAGACATGTCCTGAGCTGCAGATATTTAGTCATAAGGACGGAAAAAACTTCCAAGTTATGAATTAAAAACTAAACTTAAAAGAGGCAAAGGAAAAACTCAAATAATGAGGTAGATATTATAGAAACATAGTTTGATAATGAATACTAAAAATGTCAAATTAGGATCAGTTTGGTCCATTTGAGCAACTTTAAAACTCAAATTCTTGTTCTGTCTGTAATTATTGCACAATTATAGCGTAGCTTTGACTCTTATCTTTCACATATTTAAGGGAAGTCATTATTTGCAATGAGTGAAAACAAGGAAGTTTTACTGCAAAAATGATCTAGAAATAAGTGAAAATTTCTTAAATTAAGTGTATTTACCCTTGATTTGAACAGGTAAATTTGATAATTTGCCAATGGAATTAGTATTTTTACCCTTAAAATAAGATAATTAGTTAATATGCACTTGGAATAAGACTATGCAATTGTGTTTTCTTATTTTAAATCTAAATTGTCTTGTTCCATTAGCAAAATATCTCTTTAATCTCCTCAATTTAAGAAGAAATGCACTTACTTTAAGAAAAAATGACTTATCTAGGTTTAGATTTTTTCCAGAATGCACACTGGAAAAAATCGAAATCTGGATAAGTAATTTTTTCTTAAAATAAGTGCATTTGTCCTTGAATTGAGGAGGTAAAAGAGACATTTTGCCAATGGAACAAGACAATTTACACTTAAAATAAGAAAACACAATTGCATTGTCTTATTTCAAGTGCATATTCTCTAATTATCTTATTTTAAGAGTAAAAATACTCATTCCATTGGCAAACTACCTCATTTACCTACTTAGAATAAGGATAAATACACTTAATTTAAGAATTTTTTACTTATTTATAGATCTTTTTTGCAGTGTATGTAATCTGACTGAGCCCCGGCTGCGGATGAAGGCGTTTATTTTCAACGCATGTTTTGGAAGTTATATACAGTATAAAGGAGGAGATGCTTCGACCCGATCAGATAAAAAAGTGAGAGGCTGAAAGTGAGATCTGAGAGGCAGTAAGTGGGTTAGAGAGCTGCGAGCTTCTCTGTGGTCGGAGAGAGTCAGAGGCTGAGCTGCTCCGTTTCTGGAACAAATGAGAGGCGTCTGTTTGATCATAAAAAGCAGGAGTGATTCACTGTCGTTGGGTTTCAGCAGGCTGTGATATTCTTCTCCTGCTCTGGTTTAGACTAAAAAACCCAGGTAGAGTCAGAGGGGAAAGCCACAGAATCTCTGCGGTAGCTGGAAAAACCTGATTTCATCTCAGGTCTCTGCTTTCTGTCTCACTCTCAGACGGGTTTTTTTTTTTTTGACAATGAAAGTGATTTTTCTTTTTTTTTTTTTTTTTTTTTTTTTTTTTTTTTTTTTTGTTTAGCAGAAGCAGCAGAGCGGCACTAAGTTAAAGAGGAAGCTGCCATTAATATAAAAAAAAAATCCAAAACCTGATTATTTACCAGGAACTTATTAATTAAAGCAGGGGTTTTTTCTTAATTTGAGATTTTTCATCATTTTAATCTCATAGCTCTATATTTCCTCCAAATCTTAAAGGTTTAACTTCAGCTGTAGAGTGACATCTGGTGGTAGAAACCTATAACTACAGCTAACTTTAGCCCTTCCAATCTTAAGCTTTACTTGTAGTTTTCCGCTCAATAATTCAGAAATTGTTTCTTTTTTACCAAACAGCTGTTTTAGAGCCGTCATCTGTTGAATTAAACTTTATTTTATTGTTATTGTCTGATTTCTGCCTTTTTTTAGTACGTAGGTTTAAAAGGTTTGTAGACATGTTGCTGGATTTCTCAAAAACGATCTTTTGCAGACGTAGATCCAGAAATGGATTAAAATAGGCGGCTTTTGAAGTTAATAATTCCTTTAGCGGTTCGTGGAACTGTTTTTGGAGAATAGTTTAATTTCTTTTGTTGCCCAAGTCTAACATCAGTATGATGTCAAGTTAAAATTACATTATTTTAACACCAGGGTTGCTAACTGTTTCTTTAAGTCTCCGATTTTTTGCGGACATACAGGAAGTTTAATGTCTGCAGAAATCTTCCAAATGATGCCCCACTTTGTCTTTACTACATGCAGTTCGATCTAATGTTCAAACCATCATATCTGCTCATAGATCCCTGTCAATTTTCCACATTAAAAGCAATAAACATCTAATCTTCCGTAATGTTACATGATACTATTTATTTTTATTACTTTAGTGAGGCTGCATGCCTCTGAGGAAGGTTAGCAGAAGTTAGTAGGACAGCAGGGTTTATCTCTGTTAACCACTTTAATTTTGAGTTTCTTAAATATCTATTAAAGCCTGGGAAATGTTTGCAGTAAATTTTGTCAAACTATGTTCCTATTTCAAATTTGGTGGCGGCTGCCAAGCAGACGGCATGTCTCTGCTTTCTCACATTTAAATGAGATGCTAAGCTTTCATTTAGGGGAAATTCTACTTATTTATGTAAATTTAGCTTTAAAAAAATCTTTATATTTATAACAGGATGTAATTGGGATCTGGAAAGTTCACCAGTTTCTCCCTTTATGCACATATTCAGGTGCAGAACAAGCCTTCTTGCAGCCCTAGTAACTTTTGTAAAGGAGTATGCCTTAATATGCAAAAATAATCTAGAAATAAGTAAAAATTTCTTAAATCAAGTGTATTTACCTTTAAATTTAGTAGGTAAATGGGATGATTTGCCAATGGAATGAGTATTTTTACTCTTTAAATAAGATATTTAGATAATATGCACCAGTAATAAGACAATGCAGGTGCTTTTTCTTATTTTAAATGTAAATTGTCTTGTTCTGTTGGCAAAGTGTCTCACTTACCTCCTCAATTCAAGAACAAATGCACTTATTTAGATTTCCATTTTTTTAGGGTAACATATTTTGTACACTGGAAAACATCTAAATCTAGATAAGTCATTATTTCTTAAAATAATTGCATTATTTCTTGAATTTAGAAGGTAAAAGACATATTTTGCCAATGGAACAAGAAAATTTACATTTAAAATAAGAAAAACTATAACATTGTCTTATTTCAAGTGCATTTTATCTAAATACCTAAATACCTTTTGAGAAATTTTTACTTATTTCTAGATCGTTTTTCCAGTGTAGGGCTCCTACAGTTTTTTTACTGCAATAATGTGAACCAAATTATACACTGGAAAAAGAAAAAAAAAAACAGATTTAAAGATAAGTGCAAATTCTTAAAACAAGTGTTTTTCCTTTGATTTAAACAGGAAAATTAACTGATCTGTCAAACACAATATATTTGCACTTAAAATAAGAAAATGGGTTTATTTTTCTTGTTTTTACCATAAATCCTCTTATTCCAAACTGTGCTTTTTACCACCTGAAAACAAAGGAAAATAGAAACTACTTGGAATTCAATTTTTGAAACATTTAACTGCTTTTCTCTCTGGCCTCCAGGCTAACGAATCAGAAAAATGAGCCTCAAGCGTTCAGTAACTGAATTGCATTTTTGTTTGAAGGCTGCTGTCAATCAAAAAGCTCATGAACAAAGTTTTTGGGTCCAAATCCTGCTGTGCTTCAGTCAGTGGGTTAAAATATCCCAGATCACCACTCTTTGAAGCAAAGGTAAAGACTGTATCTGTATTAATAATAATAAAGCTGTAGAATCACAGGGTAAATGATGATGGAAAGCACATCTTTCTGTTTAAATTGACTCTAACCTATTTAAACCTAAACTGACTGTTAGGCCTTAATGGGGAAGTTTTATTCTGTTACGCTGCGTTTCCGTCACATTTTTTTTGAATGGTTAGCCTTCCCGTTACGTTGGGAAACCCCAATCAGAACAGAAACATGAAGCACGATTAGGAAATTGTAACTTCGTGATGGAAGACATCATGCAGTGTTTTGGAAATTTCTAAATTTCACAACAGATGAGTAAGAAAAAGGAAAAAAAGTCAAAATACGCAACAGAAACTTTAACCTTAAAGGCATCTAGTTGGTATTTTGGTTCCTGTTGCAGTTTTTACACAATCCTTGTTTGGATTTTAATATTTTGCTGATGTCACAATGTTGATGTTAACTTTTCATCTTAGTCTACATCCGAGCCCAGTTTAAACTTCTTAATATTTCTTAAACATTTGTAGTTTTTTTTTTTACTTTGGACATCCTACAGCCAATAACTTTTCCGCTGTTTTTTCTTCAGTTGTTTTTTTTAATTAAATCCTAAGTAGGGCTGCAGCTAATGATTATTTTGCAAAATTATTATTCTTTTGGTTATTTTTTTGATTAATAATCAGATAAAGAGCCAAACTTGTCCTCCTCTGAAGTTCTGGATAGAGCATGTTGACAGTCACTTTTTTTTTTATCTTAAATGCAAAATGTTCATTTTTCATTGTTCATTTTTTTTTTTTTTTTTTTACAATCTTTGTATAATTCCTGCTGTAAGTGGCTCACTCTGTCAGCTAAAGCAGTGGTTCTCAAACTTTTTCTGTCATTCCCCACTTTGGACAAGGGGGAATTTTCAAGCCCCGCCTGTCCCCTTCGCCCCAACACAATGCTAATGAAATATGCAACAATCTTAAAATGTTCCAATTTTATTGAAGTAACAAGTAGTATCTAAATACAAACTATCTACATCAAATAACAGCAAGCTCAAAAATAAAGAAAATAAAAATGCAGCTGTGTCAAAATTTGTATCAAGCTCAAAGATAGAAAAAATTAAAGTGCCACTCTGCAATCTGTTAATAAAAGAAAAGACGTGAAATCCATCTGGCAATACAGGTCTATTTATCCCTGCATTAGTGGCTGCAATGAGCCTGTTTTGCATTGCACAGTTTCTCAAAACGGGGTTGCAGGCTTGATACTGCCACTCTCAAGTCATGCTCAATGTTCAGCTGAGATCTGTATTTTGTTTTCAGTGAAGCAACAGTTGAAAAGCCCA